CACTTCCTTTAGTTCAGCCAAGTACTTTTACTCTGCAGAAGTGTCAAAAACTTAAAGTCCCTCACACTCCCCCGGGCCTGTGAATCTCTTTGCTCCTCTTAATGATTTCTAAAGGCAAAGGTCATCTTGAACAACTTCTAAGACACCACACGAACAAAATAAACCCAACAGGCACCAGAAATGGGCCACATGAATAATGTCTGTTGTTCTTGGTGCCCTGTTGGGGTGGCTGTGGGGAGGAGGAGTGAGCAGAAGCTGCCACAGACACTGTCAGGCTCAGCAGCAGATTCCTTTGGAGAACATTGTGTTTGTCCTGTGCATTCAGAGCTTGGGAAGAGGGGGCTGCAGATCTCCTGAGGGTCTTCTAGTCAAGTCATCCCCAGAGTTGTGATGCTGCCGCTCTTGGCTGCATCACCTGGGCAGGAGATCCAGTTTGATGGATCCCTGCCAGGCTGGAGAGGTTGGAGCTGCCTGGAGGAGCCACATCAGGGAATCACACAGTGGTTTAGGCTGGAAGGGACCTTACAGACCACCCCCTACCATGGGCAGGGACACCTTCCACTGTCCCAGGTTGCTCCAAGCCCCATCCATCCTGGCCTTGGACAATTCCAGGGATGGGGCAGCCACAGCTTCTCCTGTCTCCCCTACAGGGAGGTGACTAAAGGGGTTATATCCCACCCTTTCATCCCACTTTTTTACTTGGCTTGCACTTGCAGCAGCCTGCTGAGCAAAAGCCCAGAAGATGAGAAAGACAAGACCTTCTGCTCTGCTTCTCTTACAAAAGGTGCCTGGAAGTTCATCGTTTGAGAGGGATTGTTAAACTGTGAATAACAGCAGAGTTTGACAGTGACTGACCTTATGAGAATATGGAGCCTGATAAGGTCAGAGGTGTATACTGGCAAGAGAATCCAGATAAACTTCCTTCTCAGCTGCTAAGCACTGATTTCAGAGCACCAGGGACAGCTGGACTTGTCTTTCTTTTTCATACTTGTTTGTGGCTTGCAGCATCTTCAGCTTGAAGTGCATCTCCTTGACCTCAGTCCAGAGCTTCAGGCTCTTTGCTTCCTGCCTGGAAAACAAATGGTGCTGGGTTTGTTGGAGGTGCATGGGAAATAAAAACCAGCTTGGGGAGACTGTCAGAGTTTCATGAGAACAAGATATTTGTGCTCTCACTTGGGGCTGGTTTCACCCAAAAGCACCAGGTCCCCGTGGGTGAGCAGAGTCAGCCCAGCCCTGCACTGTGGTCAGTCCAGCAGTACGTGGGCTTTGCTTTAATTCCCTGGAAGATGACAGGAAAGTCCTAGTTAGGCGTGATCTTAATCTTGACATTGATGTTAATTAATCCTGATTCATTGTTCTAAGACTAAGAGGCCAGGCAGGAAATGAGCAAAAAGCATTACTGAGAAAAAAAAAAAAAATCTCTGATTTCACACTTGAGGGTGTGGGGAGCAAAGCTTTGAAGATGCTGCTCTTGCTGCAGTGTAATATATTCACTTTTTTTTTCTGGTTTTGGCTCATGAAGTGCTCTTTTCCCTCACCCTTAGAAGCATCGGATGCAATTAAGCTCAGAAGCAATGGCCCTTTCCAGCTCTTTCCTGTCAGCAGGGTGAAATAGCACAGAAATGGGAGACTTTTATTTTTTTTTTTCATATGAGTGGGTGAATATCCACTACAGAAACTCAGCTCCTTGGTGCTGGTGCCTCCTGAGAACCACAGCTTTGCTGGGACCTGTTCTCAGCTGCTCCAAGACCCTGCGTGGTTTCAGCTGCTGATTTATTGCACAGAATGTGCTGAGTAGGAAAGGTCCCCCAAGGATCATGGAGTCCAACCCTGAGCCCTGCACAGGCCCAGCCCCAAGAGTCACCTCCTG